CCGGAAGGTCCGTAATTTGAGCATAACCATGGCTTCTCGACTGCCTGGATAGTCTGACAGTATCTCAGCCCTCATAATCACTTCGGTTGGCATGGCAGCTGGGCACCAAAAGGCATTACAGATGAGTGCATATATATGTATAGTATATATATGTATATATGCATAAATATATTGCAAACGGCAGAGACAGCTACAGCAGCTCCCTGATTGCCAGGGGCGGACATCCGGCAGCTCAAGGAAAACAACTGAAAGGTGAGTTCACAAACCACACTAGAATTTCAGATGCTTGTTTTAGAGAAACTGCACACATGAGTAGAAGGCGAGTCTACCGAACATGCAAGAGCAGTCTGTTGTACAGTTTGTTTCAGAGTTCGTATTTTAAAGACTGCCAGATGGTTTGGGAGTGGGATTTTGAAGTGTCTATGACCGTTGTCAGGGAGCTAAACGTAGACTTTACCGCAAGTGGCAGTAGGCTGCGGAGCAATCTGTCAGACCTTGAGTTTAGAGCTACGTATGTGTTGGTAACTGGGTAATGAGTTGTGAATGAATGCGTATGTGCGGGGGGGGGGAAATAAGAGGCCTGGGTTGAGGAATGTTGTGGAACGCCGGTGGACTGCGAGCGCCCAGAATACTGAGCAAGAAACTATCACATGCTGTGTCGGCTTATCCGAACAGCTCGCCATTCTAGGATGGATGCCACAGGAACCAGCTGTGAAAAAGACGGAACAGCAATTTGGGCGCACAATTGTCATCTTAGATAATGAACTGCAGAACAACTCGCCTCCATCAACACAATCCCCTGAAGGAAAAAAGAAATGCCGACATATTGAAACGTTTCATTAATTCCAGTCTCTAAAAGCGGTACAAGATGCTATATGACCATGTCTTGCGCAGTTTGATCGAGCAGCAGGAAGTTCCAACTGTCTGACAGTAAAATTAAAAATGCGACCAATTTCAAATAGTAAGAGAAAGAGAGTAAGAGTGAAAGACCACGAACAGCGTAACATCGTTGCTCAGCTACTTCTGGTTGGAGTGCGAAATTACTGGCCAGAAGGTCCGTGGTTCGAACACAGCCTCCGCCTCTCACCTTCATTATTATAATAATGTTTGTTTCCAACTTGCGAGTGGCATACCGTCAGGCATGATCATAATATTACAGTCAGAATAAAAGCATGACTGGCGGAGATGGTGAACTCGGGGGGTTAGAAAAAGGGACTGCATCATAGGGAATGGGCACTATCCCATGTAGGCGTCATCACCACTTAACGGACACGGGTAACGAAGGACAGTTACCATGCGTTATTGGAGAGGATATTGAGCAAGAGTGGATCGCTAGGATTTGAAAGTGGCGGGCAAAAAACAAGGCGAGGGATGGCAAAACAAGAGGATTCCTATCTGACACTTGACAAGAAAAGTTTACCGGTGAAAAATTAGGAACCAGAACATCAGATCAGATGAGGCAGAAGAGTTATCTTTATTCAGCCGATCATTTTGAGCTCAAACCTAAAACCACCGCTAAGGCCTCTTGGCCTTGGGCTGTTGAGCTCATGGTCAGGGTCACAAAAGCGTAAGTGGGAATGAGGAGTAAGGGATTAGCAAAGCGGGTGTAATAATAATAATAATAATGTTTATTCCCAACTTGTGGGTGGCATACTGTCTGGCATGATCATAGGTTTACAGTCAGAATGAAGCATGACTGAGGGATTTGTGGGGGCGCGGATTGCACGAAAAGAGGACAAGTCATAAACAATGGGGAACATCCGATGCAATAATAATACTAGGTTTCTTTCTCCAGCTTTTTGGGAACCACGGGCATAAGGTCCGACCAGTTCAAAGACAAAGACGGCTGGCATGAACTAAAGCTGAAAACCATTAGTGACCATGAGTGACCTCGGGCAGTCGGGTAAATGGCCGGAGTCACAACGAGCAAAAGTGGAAATGAGGATGGAATAATTCAAATTTGGAACACACGGCGATCTTTCTCTCAGAAATGCGGTTTAATAGGAAACTAAGCAGACTCACTGGTTGCACTGTTGTAGGGAAGTCAGGTGCAGGGGGATAGGTTGGATGGGAGCAAGGCGCTAATACATGGGGCAACCCAAACACCGTATACGGATTTTGACTTGTCGAAGAGGCGAGCAGAAATTGCAGCAGCGAACCAGACTAGCCAAATTTGATCAAAAATTCATCGGGTACGAAAGAGCTCCTCCCAGAGACGGGGCCAGACCAAAAATTTGTTCGTAATTGCGACCACAGGCTCTAGTGGGCGATGGGTAGCGGTCGAGATTCTGAAGAAGATAGTTGTGGGAGTGCCGTCACACTGGGTATGACAGTGCCATGCATTGCACTGACATGCTCCGGTTTATGGACAGCCCCGTAACGTTCGTCAAGGGTGCCGCGATCAGAGGAGGGATACGCAATTCCGTGGCAGCTGGTTCTGGGTGAGACGGAGATTGACACAGAGAATCAGGTGGATGCAGGGTAATGGATACTTCCGTTGAAGGACCGTGTGAGTTTAGACCGTAGACAAGCCAGTTTCAATGAATGGCAGTTCTAATGGGCGTTTGGGCAATTATAGTAGAGGTTTGTAGCTTGGGAGGAGGGGCAACGGAAAACAGATAGAATGAAAGTAGTAGCGTGTGCAGAATGTCAGGAGACATAAGATACAACAGTGTCAATAGAAAAAAATCTGAAAGGGGGTGACAGCAAGTTAAATGGGCCCAAGAAGGATGAACACGTTTGCTGATCTAGAAGCCAAGTACTCATTGGGCCAGAGTAAGTGCATAGATTTAGGAGGGCGAGATTTTTATCGCCGAGGTAACTAGCAGGGAGATTAGCTGTTGAACTAGTTGAGAAAGGGCGGTTGTTTTTCCTCACCAAAGCATCATGACATAGGGTCCTTGTTGTGCAGCAAGAGGGGCTGATGTGAGCAGTGACAGTAGAGAAGTAAAAGGCGGACAAACAACAGCTTCTCAGATACTTGTTTAGAATCGTAGCTAAACTGAGGTCTACTACTTCAACCTAACAAGAAAGCAAGATTAAGGATCATCAGTCAC